AAAAATACTTTTTTATTTATTTAATTGGTGTCTTTTTATTTTTACAAATTTAAAGAGTCTAAGTGATTGAAAATGATAATTCATTATCAAGTCAAATAAACCCTCTTTAAATTAGTCTATTATGAACTTATCCAAATAAATACGTGCAGCATCTCCATGTTAACCACTCGCTGTAGCTCATAAGCAGCCTTCTGCAAAGAAATACAAGAGAAATTTTTCACTAAGTGTCTTTCACTAAACCTTTGTGTTTAAGTCACCAAAGTTAAGCTATTTCAGAAGAATGAATGACGCATCTTCCAGACTCTAAAATATTTGAAAAGTCATTTACACTTACACAAAATGTGAAAATAGATTGCCACCAGGAGTTAATTTATTTACTTTGCACATAAAAGATTCCTTCTTGATGTGATATGACAGCGGTCTCTTAATAAAAGAGTGAACAGTTAGTGAGAGGTGCTGACTCAGCATAAATGAGGACCTGGTGGATCAGGCAGAATTGGGCACAGTGTAGTTATTGCCAAGGTGCACTAGAATGAGATCTGCAAAGGACCTTAAAAAAAGAGGAATAAGATAGATTTTGCTAAAATAAAGAATACAAGTGCTTCAGCAGTGATGTGAAAGTGTACTCCTGGTCTGAACTACAGTAGGCAGACCTTGCTTAGAATCAGGAGGACTGCCTGAGTCTGAGATGGAGCTGTCCTAATCAGTTGTCTGTTCTGGATTGCAGTTCACATTCTAGCCATGTTCAGATATTGGTATGCATCAGACCTTTTATACTTTATCATTAAAGGATAAGTGTACCATGTGCAGTGCCACTGATCAGTGTCACCTGCCTCTCCCTCAGTCATTTGTGTTCTTCCTTACTGTTTTCTGAAAGCACATTTTCTGTCACCGTATTACTGTCAAGTGCTTTAGGGTGAATCTACTTTGGGAACTGCAAAAATGGTTTGGATATGAAGTAGAAAATGGAATTATGATGCAATGCCACTTAATCAAGTCCTGAAATAATTATCACAGGACTGATTTCAGTGTAGTAAGCTATCTGCAGAAATGATAATAGGTGTTGCTCAAGCCTGGCACACCTAACTTCTTGTTTCCCAAGCCATATAAATAAATAGTCTTCTGTGCGTATATAAGTGTATCCACACCTCTCCTGTCACATTATTTCTGAGCAAAGAAGGGTCCTTCATCTAGATTACCAAATAAATGGAAGCAGACACCCTCCGATTTTGTAACACTAGGTATCATTTTGCTATGCTTGCAAGTGGAGAGTATAATTACCATTATCCCCTGGTACTATAAGTGACATTGCTGTTACTGCTTCCCAAGCTTCATTTTTAGGAACTTAGTTTTATTCAATACCAGAAAAAAGCAGCCACTTTAAACTTTAGCTCACTTAATGGTACATTTTCTTTCACATTAAATTCAACCTTTTATTACTTTTCTAGAAATACTTTTGTTAGAAAAAATACTCTAAGAAATAGCTGAATCTGTACTTATAAATTTGCCTCTGGTCTTTCCAATACACCAAATGTACTCTACAGGTAGTCTGTAAGTTTTAGCCTTGCTAATGAAAGTTACATTAGGCCCTCATATAGTATATGCTATGCTTTTAATTTTCATTCTTCATTAGCACTTCAGTTTTGTACGATCCGCTGGATTTCTGTGTGTCAAGCAAACAATTTCTGAAAGATTTAATTTTTTCTCATTCTAAGCTCCAATGTAATATCAATAGGTCATAGGTCAGTCCAACTGAAGACTAATGCTGTCATCCAGAACTTTGGAATGCAGCAGAAAATTTGCTTTAGTGATGAACTTGAAAAAAGTTTATTGTTTAGAATTATCATAAGTTCAGTGTGAGATTCTACAGCACAAATCCAGGAAAGAGCAAATATCCTTAGGCTGCTGCAAGATCTGTTCCTAATATTAATTGTAGGGTAAGCTTAAGGAAAGTGTTGAAAACAGGATATGATGAAACATGAAACACTCCCTTGGCTCCCTCACAAATCCCTCCCTCCTCTTTCTATATTCTCTCTCAAAATAAATAGCTGTGGCTAGTTGGAATCTGAGTGCCACTAATGCTACACTTTCCATTTTAGTTTCTGGGTTTCTGTGGTTGTTAAATACTGGAGACTGAGACTTAAGTATATACAATTTTCAGCCATTTACCCGTATTTTTTGTCTTTTTTCCTGATTTTGGAGATTATCTCAATTGTTATTCCTGTTTGTTTAGGCAGAAATTCAGGGCTGTACTGGACCACTACTTCTTTAGGATGGTGAGGATTAAACCTGCTCCCATGTTGCACTAATAAGCTCATGATTGCATTGTTCCAAACTTTTCATCATAGTGAAAAATATGTATTACCCAAAAGTTTAAAAAGCTATTTCACAAGATTTCTGATATACAAAAGGAAGGTCAAAATGGGTCTGACTAAAGTAAGAACATACCTAGAAGTTTGTGTCTTGAAGGCATTCAAACATATGTTTCCTGTTCTAGTGGTAAGTGGAAAATACTGCTCAAATTTAATATTGTTAGTGTTTTCTGAAATAGATTAGCAATTCTAATAAGTTGTTATTTAATTGTGTGAAATATCTCTCTCAACTACTTACAAGAAGTCCGGTTTGTCATTCCCCGAAGTGGCATTGCAGATCAATAGCTGCTGCAATTGATCCTAACATCCTAAGTAGCTTCCATCCTAAGCCAAACCTGGAACCATTACATTTTGGTCCAATCTCAGTGTTGGTGGGAGGGAGTTCTACAGCAGGAAAGTTTTTCTTTAGCTAGAAAAGCAAAAGCACTGAGATTAGATCCAGGATTGCAAATTCAACCATACAAAGCTGAGGTTTGAAAAATAATAGTCCCTGTTCTCAGTATTTACAATAATGATTATATTTTCAATTTGTTTCCATTATGAATTTTTTATTTTAGGCAAAAGCCTATCAGTCGCATGCCTCCAAATGAATTTGCCCAGAATTAAACAGTAAATTTGTTTAATTTTTTTCTCGTCTCCGCATCATTTGCATGCAGCTGCCACGGTGTACTGAGGAACATGTATATCCAGCTAGTTACTGTTTCCACAGCAAGGGAATTAGAATTGAGGTTACCGTTAACCAAGAGGTCAGAAAATTTTGTGATGTGTCTTCACTACATCATACTAAATTAAGGGACATCCCACTTCCCTAAGACTCCAGGCCATCACCACACAGGTCAGTGTCAGCCCTTGAACTTTGTATGGAACCCTTCCAGCAAAGTGGCTCTCTACAATTAGACAACACTTAAACTCTTTCAAAGTAATAAATTATAAATGTGTAAAACATTAGGTACCTTGCAGCTAACCACATAGACATTACAATTTGAGGTCTATTATATGTATGAATTATAAAGACAGCAAACTTTTTTACTCTAAAGTTATTAACATCATACGTTACAAACAAGAATTGTAATGAAAGTTAATTTTTATGCTCTGAAGTTATAAGCTTCCTATAGTTACCCATTAAATGTATAATATTGATACAAGAAAAAAAGAGCAAATTTAATTCAGAGGGGACCAGCTACTTTAGGGTCACTCAGACCTGAAGCTTTGAAAGTGTTAAAGGGGAAGTTGCATACTGTTTACAATCTTACTTTGGGGACTCAGTTCTGTGACTTCTCTGGCTCCTTTTCTCCCCTTTTACTCTTTTCAGTTCAACCCTTATATGCTTCTGCCTTCTTAGCAAGGCAGCGTTTGAGCAATGTAAGAGCTCTGCAATCTTGGCACGGTGGTTTCAGTAGCTGCATGGTATGGTATGTCCTTTATAATTTCACACAGTTCAAATCAGATGGAAAGATAATCAGCTGGGGAGTTTGAGAATGATCTGGGCTTGATATATAATATTATATCACATTTTTTCCGCTGATCTAGCCAAATCGATTTCAAGAGCAAGATTCAAGGGAAAATAAGTAAACTGTAACTTCTTCTTTTAATACTTTAAATGCCTCATCACATTTTCCTGTATTTTTTAATTCATAATTTGCATGAACTTGTCATACACATTCTTCTTCCTAACACTTTTTTTGAAGAGTGGTTTATTTTTGCTATTTTTTACATACCAACTGTATGGTACCTGGTCCCTGTAAAATCATTCAGTGAGCATTTTGGTAGAAGAAATAGGCCAAATTTTAATACTCTCAACCTTACCCATTCCAGTTCATCCACTCCCAGCTGTATATCTTCTAATGCCTACCTTAGTCATGCCAAGATCACATTTTTCTCCACTGAGTGTTAGGTCCTGCTGGCAGACACTGCCTTCTGAGTTAAAAGTAGGGCTCATTCTCAGTTGTAAATCTCTGTGTTGTTGTAAGCCAGTGTAGCTTTGCACAGACCTGTCAGTGAGATCAGCTTTTACAGAGCAGTTGCTGGATTCCTTTTGCTGAAAGTAAGTGTTTGGAACTTAGGTGCCCTGATGTAATTTTACAGCTAGAGATTCTAGAGTACAAACACACGCCAGAAAAGCCCCAGCTTTACTGGGTGATCCGTTTTAGGTGTTGGATAGGTCTCATCACAGTTCATCTATTTTTTAGCAATTTGTAAAACCTGTGAATTGTCTTGTTTTAAAATTTAGAGTGAAGTTAATTCAAGAGTTTTTAGGGGCTTAATGCTGTCTGCTGTAGTATATCTCCTATCATTTGTCTTGCAAGAGCCTGAACTGAACACTTTAGCAGAAATATATATTAAAATTTTTCTTGTCTCAAAGGGTTGGCAGAGCACAGAAATAGGCAGAAAATAGAGAAATGGAGCAGTCTATTCAGATATTCCTGCATCTAATTTGTAACCTTGACATAATAATTCATGATTTGTCATCTATTTAAAGTACTGATACTAACGGAGTTAGCATTATTTAGACACTACCAATCAGAAACAGTCACAGTAGTTCTGTGTTACAAATTCCTATTTCAACTTCTTTCTGATTGAGTTTTTGAAATTTGCTATAGTAAATGGTAATTTTTTTCTTCTTTTTAGGACTTTGCCTAATTAGGTCATGTGTGTTTTCCAATGTGCTGGTTGCAGAATGAATATTTTAACCTGCTGACCCACTTAGAAGAGTTCTGGGTACATATATATTGTAATTGGTCTTTTGTTTTACTTGGGTTGATGTGAATCAACTCATTTGGTGATGGAACTGAAAAGAGCAACCACCTCCAAATCAACTTAAATTACACCTTTTGACTGCACTCAGAATTACTCACTTTTCAATGATACAGAAGTTCAATGGCCACCAGTGTGGTGCTGTGGGATCTGTTGATCTTTAAGATATGAAACCATTAAATGTGACAGATGTGAGAGGATCCTTATTCATCTGCATTGCTGTGGAGAAATTTCAGTACACCATTGCAAAATGGTGTACTGAAATCTTAAATATTGTTTAGCTAGGTAGTTGCTCTGTTATTGACCAAATAATATGTGAATTTCATGATTATTCCAAGGTCTTATCTTTTTCCTGAAGTAGGTCTCTCCTGCAGACAGAAAATGTTTCCTAGAGATAATTCAGTTAGATTTCTAAAGCATTGTGAATTGATTGGACCAGTACTACAGTTTGTAGTGCCACTATGATTAGAAGACTGTATTTCTGCGATGATTATAATACCATACCTAGTAATGTCATGAAACCCATGCTTTACCTTTGAGAATGCCTTTGGTACACAGTGATACAGGAATAGCTTTCTCATATACTCTTTTGCCAATTATGTGACACTGCTGTTCTTCCTTGTTTTTTAATAGCATGTATTTGGTGAAAGGGAATGCTCGATTAAGCTCCTTTTTCAAGTAAAAAGGTGGGCTTGTTATTTCATGTAGTCAAGATGCTGAGTGTGCATATCAAGATTTTTTGAGGTATCAGTAGTGAGGTATTGGGTATTTACAAACAGTGTATATAAACAGATATATTTACTTAGGTGACCATTCAATTTGAAGGGGGAAGCAACACACGTTCATTGACTTTTTGCCAACATTAAAACATCACAGAGGATTTAGGTGACCAGTATTAATCCCTTATCACAAATGAAATGAGGACTGCTATGGTGGAAGCAGAAGCATTAGTTTCAAATTGTTGCCCAAAAATATGTTGCCAGTGATTTTGTCAGCATGAATTTTTTGAGGTTGTAGCAGATAGTCATCACATTTTTCATGGCCAAAAGCAGTTTAGAAGAGTATATGATATCACACCATCTTCTCAGTTAAAGGAATATAAACCTAAAAAGAAGTCAAACCAAGCAAAATTGATGGGAAGAAGGGAGAGGATGGGACACAGCAGAGACACAAGGCTTTAGGAAGTTAGAGTTGCTGAGTATGTGTATCTAACATTAGATACCTACATCCAGAGAGATGTTTCAAAAAGGTTAAGTGGGGTTTTTTAGAGATTCTAAGCATCTGTGGTTTCCACTGGCTGAATGAATTAAGTATTTTTTCACAAATATGTTCAGAATCCATGGATGCATTCCCATCTAAGAGGATGTGAATGCCAGATATGTTAGTTAAAGACCCATTGTTTTCTAGAATATCAGAGGGAAAATCAACAAGGAACTAACACTTGTCCTACTCTTAATGACTGATCTGTCACATAGTGGGATGTACTAATCTGAAGCACATTTCAAAGCTCATAGGCATGTTTCTAAATCTTTTATAGGCTGATGTTTGCAGTTAGATTCTAACACTAGAGAAAGAATATGTTATTTTCTAAGGAAGGTATCTCTTTCCACAGACTTACAGTGCATTAACAACTCATCTGGGCTTTGGGGTCCTGATAGTATACACAGATACCACAAATGAAGTAAAACACAAATTTCTCACTAAGTGACTCATTTGATTAGCCAGTCTTGTCTGTGTAATGCAGAATTGTGATATTGATGTTACAAAGTGACAAAGTGACTTCCCACCAAACATAATCATGCTATTACTGTTTACTCTGACAGCAGCTTCTTTCCATCCAAGAGCTCAGCACATTTCACAACCATTAAGCCTCCCAATGAAATAGTTAAATGTCATTATCCCATTTTCTAGATGAGGCATATAGAGATTAATGACTTGTTAGAGTCATACAGGAAATTTGTGACAGAGCAAGGAATAGATGGCAGCTCCTCCAGCTCTTATGCCTATTCTCCTTTTTACAAAATTACTTTCTGTCCTCAAATAAAAGGCACTTCTGGTTTTGGAGCAACACTATTAGCGAGTGAACTCAAAACCTTAGTTATTGAATCAGTAAAAGAAAAATGTGCTATTATTGGCATAGGATTGTTTTTAAGTAGAAACAGGTGAGAATGCAAGAATCCTAGATCTCAATTTGAAGGTGAGGAAGGGGAAGGGGGATCTCAGCAGTTTTATGTAGCACCAGAAACCTAGTGTGACCAGCATAGAAGAAATGGCTGTTGATCTGGTCTTGAGTCTTAAATATGTTGAGTCATTATGGGGCTTTTTTATTTGGCTGTTACTGAATCTCAGTATTTCTGTTTAAACTGATCCAAAGGCAGTGTTCACTGTGTGGGTCACACATGATGTGCAGTTAAGTTTTTCACACCCAAAGAAATCACCCAAATTAAATCCACTAACTGTTCTGATACGTAAACACACAATTAAATAATAAGATGTGAAATGCATCACAGAAATGCTTAAAATCACATAAAATATACCAGAAATTTTGTTTGGAAAGTTACTCTAGAACTGAAATACTTTGGGATGTGTGTTTTAATCTTTTTAGATTATTCTTGCTATTTTTTACTATAAGTTTTATACACTTAGGCATTCCCATCTGTAGTATAACATTGTCTATACAGAAGGTATTATGTTATCTGTATGTGTGTATATATCTGTATATATACACACATAGTATGACATGAATTCATGAAATCTTAAACTAATTTATATTGTATAGGAAAGGAAGGTGGAGGGTTTTAAGTACAGGAATAGAAATGGGAAGGTTTATGTCCTGAGAGAAATATGTATGAATCTTTGAAAATAATTACTGATGTATTTATTGTATGGATATTATCCTGCCTAGCTACTTAGTTTTAAATTAGCAGAGTCAATTGGGAGGAATTCCTGGCAGAAGTGAAAATAAAGTAGAATCCTGGAGATAATCAGGAGTCCTAATGAAACATAAAGAAAGCCATTAACTGGGGATCATGCTCAGCTGGACTCTGACCTGGGCTGATGAAGTTTCTTCTTTCAGTCAAGGTTAGGGTGGAAGATGATACTTATGAAATCTTAAAGATGCTGGCCTACGCAGAGAAAGGGGTTGAGTGAACTCTTCGGGGAGTGTCACTGAGTGCTGACAAGGACTGACGCATACCATGAGTGGCAGAAGACTTTCTATATGACCTTGGCCGAGTCATTTAATCCCTCTGTGACTTGGTTTCCTCATCTGCAGAATTAGGTACAAACAATAATACTTCCCTGCCTCACAAGAAACTGTGGGGATTACTTCATTACTGTTTGCAAGGTGTGTTCAGGGACAAATAGAAAAAATGCAGTGGAAATATTATTTGTTGCTGGAAACAAATATCAGATACCTTGTTGATCATGTCCTGGAAAATATATTATTAACTGGCTATTTCTTGGAAATCTGATCTTATTAGAAACCACATGAGCCCATCATACCTTCCCTCTTTCCTCTGCTTCCTTTATGCTCTTCTATTCAAGTAGTTGTGCAAATGTTATTAGACAAAATTAGACAACCTGTCTTCCTATCAAAAAAGTATGCTTCTTTCAAAGATGACTGCTTTTTAGCTTCTGTAAATGATGAACCTGTAACTCCTCAAATCTATAATCACATTCTCTTATCTGTATAGATTGATATAAAGATAAGTAACAAACTTCCTTTAGTTACAGTTTTGAAGAAGTGGATAGCAAGTGTTTAAAGTTGATTTTGAATTCCAAAGGAATATCCACTAGTAAGAGCATCTCCTTCTTTGCTTAAGAGGTTGAAAGAAACTCTTATAAGCTGCACCTCTATGCTTATTAATAACAGATCCATGCCTTGTTTGATCACACAGTAGTGCAGGATTTCACAGGTATCAGTTACAGACGTGTCTATCAAATTAGCCAAAATTCAATTAGCCTAAGCAGCCAGAATTTTTGAAGGAATGAGGGTGCATCAGCAAAGTGAGTTTATACCAGTCAGTTTTGTATCATTTAGCTAATGCAATTTTTGAGCCAATACTCTTGGATTGGTAGAAGCTCTAAAGCTGAATTTTCATTTCTGAACCCTAGCTGCTCACTCACAAGTGGACTGCACATGCATATATGTGCATTGCATTAACTCTACTATGCAGGGGAGTTCTCTAGGCCACAGGGACTTGTGATTAGCTTGTAAACATATTTAAATTGTACTTGAAAGATTCTGGATCTATAAATACAAATTACATTAAAAGAGAATGTTTCAGTAATACCAGTAGGTATGTGTGTAAGAGAGACCATTTAACTTCTCTGTGACTGTGAAAACAAATTTTGATTGTTAATGTTAAGGCTCCACTTTTCTTTTGGACTGCATATTTTGGTAGTGGAATCCCTCTACTATCATATCTTCAATTCCACTGACAGATGTTTAGGTTTACTTAAATCTGAATTTAGAGTCTGGTAAACCACTAACAAATGGTAGCCACATTATATGAAGTTATATGAAGCATTGCATAAATTTGCAGCCACACCTAAGCACTCACCTTAAAAGCACATGGGGACAATAGTGTTTGTTAGCTTGCACAATGCATGAGATAAGGTGATGCAATGTTCATATGTCATTGCTGTTGCATGTGCTGCTCATGTCAGGGGTTTCTCCCAAGCAGCACACAAATGTAGGGCCACGATAAGCTGTGCACAGTCTTGTTTGCCCTCACGTCTACTGTGGCATAAAAAGTTTGGTAGAAGTAATCCATTTGATCACTCCCTTCCTACTCTTTTGTAGTCAAGTCAAACCTCTTTTTTGCTCACTAATTCTCACGTAAGGCTCTCACTGACATCATCTAGCTAGGACTTTCAGGGTGTGAACCATTTTTGTTATTTATGGAGTATCAGACTTACACTAATGTTGGCAGGGTTTAAATCAGACAGGAAAAGTACTA